TTGTATGCGATTTAACTCCTGGCAGTTGGCAAATGCCAATTGGCCAATGTCATCCAGTTCGGCGATTTTAATACGCTGATTGCCCACTGTAAGAGGCGGCGGGTCGCTGGCTGGAATTTTTACCTCCTCCCACTGTTTATTGTCTATGCGTTGCGCATTTTCGGGTAACGTGATGCGGCTGCCGCCTATGAAGCCGGCATGTTGTTTGGCCTCCAGCTGGCTATCAAAGACGTATGGATAGCGTATGGGCGGAGTGTAGTTTGAGTGCTCGGCTTTAACCGCTTTTGTGCTGAGCAGCAGAGGTTCTCGTTGTGCTGCCTCCAGCAGTTTGCGCTGATGTTGCATTCGCAGCTGCTGCGCGGATATGGCAACGGCGCCGCCCGCTTCTTCGGCGCCTTCGTCATCGTCCTTGATGCTGCGCATTATGCGCTGGAGTTTCTTTTCCTCGCGACGCTGCTGCTTACCCAGCTGCTTTTCCTGTGCCGATTGTACCACAACTGCGCTGGCTACCGTGGGACGCTTTTCTGAGCTAGCAGTAGGCTGCTGCCGCTTTTGCTTCACCTGTTTGATGCGGCGAGATCTCGTTGCGTAGTGCTCCAGCTGCTGTGCAATCTTGGAGCGCTCCTGTAACAGTTGCCCAACCAGTTCGAAGTGCTCAAAGCCCAGCAATTCCATTAACTCGTTCTGCAACTCCTCACTGCTGCGCTTGGAACTAAGCATATCGCCCACGCGATTTAACAACAGCTCATCTTCAATTTTCTGGGCTATGTTCAGCAGCGTCTCCAGCTCCGGGCTTAGCTTAAAGCCATCCGTGACCTGCTTTGCAGCTGGCACTGCTGCACCGCCGGTCTTGTATTTCATGGTGAATTTGTTGACGACTTTATTTTTGAGCAGTGCATCGGGCGACAGGTTCGTCAGCAAGCTAACATCCAGCCACTCCGCCTGCGTGCAGCTCACGTGCACATGTTCGCCCCAAAGTGGACGATCTTCCGACGTCTTGTGCTGTGATTGCCGCCAGCGCTTGAGGGCAAGCAACTCGTGCTCCTGTAGTGCATCGGCCACGGCCAGCACACAGTTGTGTATTTGCGTTTGTTTCCGGTCGAAAGTGTATCCAAACATTGCATGCAGTCGGTTAGTCGTGGCCACCAGCAGCACGCGCTGATCAAGCAGCGACCAGAATAGATACAGTGTCGCATGCTCCACCACTTTTGGCTGCTCCTCATAGCCCATGCATTCCTGGACCAGATTGCGCAGCTTCTGCAGCTGCACCTTTGCCGCTGGCTGTTTATCCGCCGGCAATTGTGCCAGCAATTTTGCTATCGTCTGTTCCGCGTTTCTTTAAAAAAGCATATTATTACATTGTGTGTGAATATAATTGGAATTTTATCAGTTGTGAAATAGCAACGGCTTACTCTTTGCAATTTGTCGGCGTGGACGCTAATATTTTCGCTCTGACATGTCTCAGTCCGTTGAAGCGGGGGGTTCTGGATTCAAGTTCCGTTTTGGCACGCAGCGATGCACTCAGTCGAGGAGGCTCCCACATGGTTACCTAGTTTTTGTTTTATCTAAGAAATTGAAATTTTCTGCTAAAATTGGGTTCGACGCTGACGACGCTGACGACGCTGTCGCAGCTGTTGTAGCACAGCTGTTGCTTCTATGCTTTAGCGTTGCCACCTGGGCAAATTAGTATAAGTATATCGTATAAGTATATCGTATATCGTAAGAACACAAATTTGATGTGGGAAATTTAAATGGAAGCTCGAATTGTAATAAAAAATATTTATAAAAAATATATTATTAAAGATTGTATTTTAAAGTGGGGAAGCAATCGGTATAGGTGCTGTCTTAATTTTTACGAGATTTTCATGTAGCCATTAATTTCTAATGTCATTTACATGCATAAGCTGTCTCTCGGCAGGTCCATTCAAAACTTTTATTATCTGTTACAAAATGTTTTGATTGCGGTAAGCCCACACACCGATGCACACACGCACACTCACATAGCCACCTTCAAAAGTATGCTACATAAACTTGTTGCGCAAGTTGCAATTGTGCGTTTGGGGGTGTTTGTGTATGGAAAATTTATTATGCATCACATGTCCAGACACTTGGATGTATCTCTTTGGTTACTGTCCTGCAACATGCTTGAATGACCTCTTTGAATTTAACTGCTACGCTCAACCGTTGTGGTTATAAGTGTGAGTGTGTGTGTGGGTGTGTGTGTGTGTGTTTGTGTTTTGGATCTGTGGAGCTGTATAAAAACAGATTCACCGAGAGCTCCGTCCTTTTAGTTGCTGCTGTTGTATGAGTCGAGTGAGGCCATCACAAGACTTCCTATGAGTTTCATAACTTGGTGAGCTACACTTTCATTCAAAGATTCAGACGAGTTGCGACGCAATGCATTTCCAGATCATATTGCTAAGTGAGTATTTGCCCTACTCTATGTTGATTTTATAATGACTTACTCTTGCAGGCATGTGCTTTATGTATTTTGCTTGCTCCAATGCCATCCAATGCGATTCCTGCGGCAAGGAGTGTGCCAACGCCTGCGGAACAAAAAACTTTCGGTAAGTGCCCGCAATCGCAGCCTTTAATCACCGTCTGATGAATTTTTATCGTTTCATAGTACCTGTTGCTTTAACTACCTACGAAAACGCACCGATCCCGATGCACTGCGTCTTAGCTCTAATAAACGGCTTATAGACTTTATATTGTTGCAAGGACGCGCGCTCTTCACGCAGGAGCTGCGCGAACGCCGCAATAATGGCACCCTAATCGACCTGGACATGGGCAACTACTATGGCTGAAACAAATCCTCTGATCATCCAAGCGCTACCGGCACAGACAATGACAACGATGCGAATGTTTGAAGTGTTAATTTTTTAATAAAAGGCGTAAAACTCTTTGGGGCAAAGTGCTTAGAAAAGCATTTGATACATTTAGTGTAAATCATTTGGCAATTCCAGAAAATGTTCATTTTGTTTGATTTTGTATCAATTGCAGTTTAATTTGTTAAATTGTGTTTCCATTTTTTTTACATTTTTAAATGCCAACTTTTTTTTAGATTTTTGTGTTTGTGTGCAAAGGTATGCTTGGTACATATACCAATTGGAACAAATCCATATAGGCTGCTGTTAAAGTATTGTAAAGCTGTCAGTTCCTGTGTCGTAAAATCACATGTCGTCATATTCTCTGTTAGGCTCGTCGTCTGCTGCAGTCGTCGTTACTTTGTCTAAGCTTGAGATTCGCTAATCTCTGTGGTGGCTTGGGTCCTAGAGTCTGAGGGAAGATCGTCTTTGCCGCAAGCGAGGCAAGGCATCTTTTCCTTGAGCACCTGCTTGTACTTGGGGTGACTATACGAAAAAAACAAAAAATACAAAATTGGTATATACATTGGTATATATATATATATATTGGTGCCAGTTGAATACCTTACCTTAGGCCATAAACAATTGGATTGCAAACGGCATTTGCTTTGGCGAAAACCGAGCCACAAATTGTGGCAAGTGGCGATAGATGCATTGATTCAAAGATACCCGCATAGTTGATGATTGTATAGGGCGTCCATGCGAAGAACCAAAGCGAAATTGTGGTCAGTGCTACCTTGGCCAGTTTGATTTCGATAGCCTTGCTCTTCTCTGCCTCGGTGTTTCGCAAAGAGGCCACATTCATCTTCTTGGCCTGCTCACGCATTGCCTTCTCGTGGGCGGCCACTGCCTGGGAATCGGGATTAATGAGTATCATAATATGTTATCTGGCTATAGCTACTTACTTTTAATATATGATAGTATGAGAATATGATTGTCAGCAGCGGAGTGAGATAGACCCACATGGAGTAGACAATGATATAGGAGCGATTCCACCAATCTTTGGCAAAGTAGTCTGTACCGCAGGCCGTCATATTGCCCTCGGGCACATATCGATTCCAGCCGAACAGCGGAATAAGAGCCCAAGTACCACAAATTGTCCAAACAACCAGAAGACGAAGCACAGCCGACGTCACCGTCAGAGGTTTACGTGCCATGCCCTTGACAATGACGCAGTAACGATCGTAGGCAATCAGTGTCATGGACCAGATGGATACACAGCCAAAGAGCGAACCGAAGAGGCCGTAGAGCTCGCACAGAAACGGACCCATGATCCAGGTGCCATAGAAACCATTTAGGACGACGGGTGGAAACATGGTGAACATCATCATGAAGTCGGAGAAGGCCAAATTAACCACAAACATGTTGGATGGTGTTCGCAGCGATTTGGACGACGTAAACACGTACATCACAATAAAGTTGCCCGTCAGTGACATCACTCTTTGGTTTGGACGATTGAAATATTTCAATTGAGTTCAACTAATGCTAAAAAAATTTGTATATTACCCCAGCACGGCAATGACAAAACCTATAATGCCGAACCACATGGGCTCCATTGGCGGCCACTGGTACCAATACGGGTCCACCATATGCATGATTTCGGCGGGAACGCTCTCCGCCAGGCTTAGATTTCCGTCATTGCGCAGATGCGCATAAGTTGGATGGTTCAGACTTATCATGACTAAGCCGTATTGAGAATACACTCCGTCTATAACTAAGGAGTTAAGATATTTTCGGTGGTCGAGCTTCGTTTGTACTTAAGCTGGCTAGGATAGCTACTCCGCACAACTGTCCATAGCAGATAAAAATAATTTTAATATTTCTCTTGGCGCCGAACTGGACGCGACTGCCCTGGGTCGGATAGTTGGACTGCCTTTATATGCGAGGGCCCTTAGAAAACACTTGAGTCTAGCCAGTCTTAGACTAATTGCCACCTAATCCAATTATCCGGCATACACTTGGCCAATCCAAAGTAGCTAAATTTTAAATTTGTTTCCCAATTGCTGCAAATTTGCTGCGTCGGATTAGTGTTAACAGCAACAAACGCGTCATTCATCCAAGTCATGGTCAAGTTTAAGGCAACCACCCCCGCCAAGAAGCCAATTTGATTAGGACAAATGCTTTGTCGCTTCGCTGAAAGCAGCGTCGTGAAATTTACGTTTTATTCACATGGATATATATAGAATATTGGTTTTATATCCGATCCGAATTCAGGCATGCCAATTGTAACCCAGCTTGCGAGCTCCTCTCATTACCGTATTCAGCTGGAACTCCAGGGTGCCATATGATTCCATGGATAGACCTGAAGCGAACATATAAAAACTTAACTGAGGAGCAGGAAGAACTTTACATACTTCTATGATACTGTAACCTACCCTTGCATTGCGTGTTGTCCAGCAGTATTTTGGGATCTTTAAGCTCCGGCTGGCGCCGCAACAACCAACTGGTTATATCGGCTATCATATTCGGGCATTTGGGCATTAGGATAGGTGCTTCACTTAAGCTAGACGTCTGTTCGTCCTGGCGGCGGCTTCCGAAGACAGGCATATGCACGCGTGCATAGCCAACCAAACTCTCGCTACCGAGTCCATTCTGTCCATACACGCTGACTATAATTTGTGGCCCTGCAAAGAGTTTATTGTAAGAGCAACCGAATCAGGCCGAGTGCCCATGTACTTACAGCCGAAGGGACTGGTGCTCTTGTATGAGACTTCGATGGGCATATTGAAGACGATTTTGTCATTAAAGTGGCCACTCTTGATGGTTGCCATCTGTGTGATGCCGTGTTGCGGGCCAGATGCCAATTGCCAGTCTGGGCCTGCAACCAGCTCGTAGCGACAGAATATGTAATCCTTGTCAGGACCCAGTGGAAATGTGGCCGAAACTATTTGACCCGTGATGCATAGAGTAAAATAGCTGGCCGGGGTTTTGACACCTGGATCATTTACTTTTTGAACACTTGGCGTTCTCCTGTTTTTCCTTTGTTTTTGTTTGGGTGACTCTTTGTTGTCGTTCTCGTTGTCCTGGTAACCCGTTTCCTCGCCCTCGTACATTTTAGCGACTGTTCTGATGGTGCGTTCTGTTTAAACTGGCTTTTATTCACATGAAAGTTACGCTAGGTGGTTGTTCAACTGTCATTGAGCAGTGTTGGAAAAGGCGTCATACTGAACTTATATGTCTTGAAAAACTTTATGTTTTCGGCCACTTTTCATATATTTATAATATCCCAAGTGCTAAGCACGAAACGTTGCATACTTTTCTCGTCACAAATATCGTCTCGCATGATACGACCATTCGCGTATGCAAATCTTCTCTGATCGACTTTTATCTTATATTTTAAGCATATATTTAAAGTATTATTCAAAACGTGACATCACTGGCTTTTCTACTTTCTGTGTGTGCATGCATGCATGCATGTGCATGTCCGAATATGTATTTATGTATTATTTTCCTGATTAGGTATTTTTCTGATATGGTATATAAGGCCAAGTTTCCTCGATCTTCCAACTCCCCCCAATAGGCTGTCTTTTAAATAATAAAGTATTTTTATAACTTCTTATAACTATTATTATATCATATTAAATGGTATTTCTTCGCCTTGCCCATTTGCAGTTAATTAGCTTCATATTTTTGACATCGATTCCCAATTTTACGCTAATGGAAAATTTAAATCTTCCCGTAATATCATGAGGTCCACATGTTAGGTTATAGTTTACATCAACGTTCAACCTTTTTTAGTCCCTTAGCGTGCAATTTAAGGCTCTTTATACCCATGTTAAATGACTCCAGGGCATAAATATCGCAACAGCAGAAGAAAACGAGCAGTATTAACGAATTAATATCAATTTTTATTAAATTAACATTTTTCTTACAAAAATCTTTGCATATATATAAAATATTTAAAATGTTATACTTCTAAATCGATTGAATTTTATTGATTTAATAGGCACATAAGTAGTTAAATTTACTGCTATTTATTTCCACAAGATTTTAATTGACACCTAAATGTTTTTGGAAAAAATATTTCATTGCCATAACTCCACAACTAAACGTCCAATCGCAATGTGGGCTGAAACTTGTGATAATTTTAACTTTTATAACTGAAATGCCTTCAAAGTCGTCAATATTCCTTTGATTTTAATAATATAGCGATGTAATTGTAATTTCTGGCACTTGCTAAAGAGGCATCTTATTACAAAAATGTACAAAAAAACTCACAATTCCTGTGATCATAGTTGCTGTTGCCAACCAATGTTACAGAATAAAAAGACATATGTTATCTGTCTAATATATGTCTAAATATGTGCATGTAACTGATTCTCAACTTACAGCAATGCAGCATTATGTCTGTGTGTGCGCTTCAATTGAAAAATTGTGTTTGTTTTGTTCAATGAATCGACATGCATATAAATGTAAGCTCCAAGCCCCGATATAAGAGGTGCAATGTTATATTTCTTATTAGTTTCTTGGTTCATTGATTCCGAAAACGAAATTGAATGCACATATATGTATGTATATAAACATATATATATATATATTTTTTAACAAATTTATGAATATGCATTTAATGCCAAGACATATTAGAAATAAAAGAGCCAGCCGAAAATGTTGTTGTTGTTGCATATGTGTCGATTCTGCGCTTTGTCAGCAGCAAGAGTTCGCGAATGCGATTTTGGCTGTGAACGGAGCAGCTCTCCAATTGCAGACGGCCAAGCAGAAACTGATGTGAGCGGCTTATGTCTGATTGCTTAAGTTTAAGCTCTTGTTTATGGTATGTGAAATGGGCTTATTCCATAGAATTGCATATGGTACTCGATAAGCCGACAACTTTAACACACACCAACACACATACACACACCTTGCCACTTGCCACTTGCCACTTGCCACTTAGCTGTGGCTTCAATTGATCATCATTGACGATAGGCACAGCTGTTGGCTGCAGCTGCCATACTCTGCCTCTTCGGCGTGAATTCCGCCTAAAGAAACCAAAAACAGCTGAGGTTTACACCTTCAGCTGCCTTGAACTATCGACTTTAAGCATTTGACGCGCATTTTAATTATATTGTGAGCTCTTCGCCAGTTTCTTGCATAATGCAAGCGGGGTTAGCCAGTCGCAAGGGGCACAGTCTCTAGCTACGGTAGCGCCAGCAAATTGTCATAATGATTTATAAACATGCAGTCGCAAGCACAACAAAAACAGGAAAATGTTCTCTAGCAATTGATAGACTTGGAGATATCCATACATTTGTTAAAAACTAGCCTAGGTCGAGCATCAAAGCTAGACTGATATTTGTAATACAACTAAAATTTATTTTAGTCCGTGATGTTTCTCTGATTTTAATTTTGACTTGTCTCATTACAGTTTGCGCCCCTTTTTAAATTGTTATTTAAATTTTCAAAAATTCAACATATACATTTGTATATGATCAATAACTCCCTAGCTAAGCGTCTAATCGCAATTCGCGCTATAATTTGTATAGCTTAACTAGCTAAATATAAATATTAACTGCCAGGTCCGGCTTAGAGGTGATTGTAGAGTCTTTGACAAAAGAGGCGGTTATTTTCCAGAAAAGGCACAACTGCATAGTTAGCTGTTTAATTTCCAACAGAGCTATTTAACTTATTATAAGAATGTACAAAGGCAACAACCGATGACATAGTTGATTATGCATAAAAAGACTTGTCAGTGATCGATTGTGAATGTATTACAAATGAAAGGTAGACTGAGTTACAACTGTAGAACAATGGTCCAATACTACTATACTGTTTACTGCTACTTACAACTTTACCTTAATACTTACACTGTTCAGATGTGCTGATGTTAAGTATTAATAGGTTTGAATATGTTGAGTATATGATCTAGTTTAGTGTGACATTTAATTGAACTAAAACACATTTAATTCGAAAATCTTCCTTCGACTCTATTTCGATGGAGCGTTTTGATTATAGTTTCTGCCCCTTTTTATACTATAAAGCTAGCTTTTTGATATATATATGAAAATATTTTGCTTACCGTCCGACCAGCATCGAGATCACTTCAAGGATCTTTGAGAGGTGCCTCACACCTCCTCACACCTCAAGCCTCTTGGATGGAATAAGTTCATTAATATTGCCTCTCTTTATATTGGCATCTAAATATAACTTCTAAACTAAGTCTCCAAATCCAATTTGAACTAAAACTTGCAATCATTTTATTTTATAAATGCGTATTCTCGTCCAGCATAGAATAGTTTCTTTCTGCAGTAGCCGGACAGTTCAAAGCATTGACAAACCTTGTCGATCTGCAGGAAAGAGTATTTAGCAATCACTCACATTTAACACACATATTATTTTATATTGCAATTTTATATGAACAATATGAAAATCCATGGGGTACTGAGGGTACATTACTTTAATGTGAATTTTGTGCTAGGCAGACATTGGTCGTAATTAACTCATCAATGGATTCTGATAAGACAGCATCTAGTGGATCGTTTCGTATAATGGTGTATATCAAAGTCGATTCCTCAAGTGTTTTATTTGAAGTCTTTGCCATCTTGATATTTATAAGAATATATTTGCAAGTCGGTGCCTCTAATTTGCATGCCCTATGGTCTAGCTCTCCACACACGCACACAGACATACACAGTTTCCTTCTCTCTTTCTTTATACATACAAACATATATTGTATATATACATTAGTTTATATTTGCGCATTGCGTGGGCGTTTGTCTCAGGGTCAACGCACATCGCCATCTGGGAATGATTCTAAAATATCTGTCTGCTGTCTTACGCGTGCAATGAATCTATAAATGTACATATGTGGACTTAGTTGAATGGATGATGTATGCTCTACACTTAAGCGAAATGTATCTTTAAGATACATACGCCAGTGACCAGTGGCCACGCAACTTGCGCACTGACATACTCTTACGCATGTCTTTGACCGATTCCCAATTCGATTCCTGCCGCTGATTGACAGCGCACGTAATTGAGTTTGATTTTTGCGCACTTTGAAAATATATACATCTTCGACACGATGACGACAATGGTAACGGCAAGAGGGGGTGAATGTCAAAAAGGTTTGTGTTTAGTTACCCCAAATATTTGATTTGATTGAGCAGCTGCCAAACGAACTTCAAAACTTGAGCTCATAATAATAATAGTTTGCTTGGCCTCTATAGCTCCCATCTCTCAGCTGGTCTCTGTCCGCTCGCCGCATGGTCATTTAAGTTTTCGTAAGCTTTCCATCATTCAATCAGGATCAATATTTATTAATCAAGTATGCTAGCAAAAAAAAAAAAAAAAAAAACAAATGAAGAAATACAGAAAACGAGCAAAGGCCACATCAAATTATTAAAACATAGGAGCGCACAGAGCACACACTCGCACTCACAGGCACAACCACAAAATGACTAAGAGGCCAGCGCGTGCTGGCTGTACGGTCGGATAAACAGACGCACTGTCTGTCAGTATGGATGAAGATCCACACACGTAATACTATACGCATCTAATTTTGGACTTAAGTTGCGCCCGATTGAGAGAGTTGAATTTGGGCGATCCCGCCGCTGACCCGTGCGGAAAAATTGCATCCGTAAGATACAATCAATGCGATTGCTGTATATCTGTTGATTATAGATTGACCAGCATCAGCTATTTTGGCATTTAATGCTAAACAAAAGTTGATGGGTGCGCGTGCTGTCGGCATTCTAAATGATCTAAATGCGTTAATTACTAAGATGATAGATAGATAGGCTAGCGGCCAGTGCCTGCTGGCTGCTGGTTGCTGGCTACTGTGGTCAGCATCAGTTGATTCCGCCTTAGAGACTCTGATGTCTTCGTTGTCTCAAGTGCGTTTGATCATTAACATCTGCGCCCTGTTCTGCCCGCTTTTAGACTGTGCATGCCGATCTTATGCAAGCTACCATGACTTCTTCATTCAGTTTGACAAGGCAATGTTCGAAGACATGTGCTTGGCTATAATTTTATCAGCTTAAAGACTTTTGTAATTACCTTTTGCAGGCTTGTTGTATTTTTATTGTAAGTGTATTTCAGCTTCGGTGACTTGTTGAGAACTTCCTGAAAAACAAGTGAATAATTATTCTGCTCTTGTTATGAATACGCGATAGGTACATACCCTGTATGTCAGCTAAAAGTGATCTTTCTTGGATAACATCTATATATAGCATGCGATCGCTTTCTCCTCTGATGTTGCGTAGATGGTCCAGATTACTTCTTATCCAATGACAATCTTAACCAGAGCTATTAAGAATGTTTGGTTGATATGAATAACACATCATATCGCACCCTCAGTGCGATCAATACAGGGTATTTGAAGATTACATTTTTTAATGATGTTTTGTAACATTTGCTGTTTGGCTTCTGGTTTATGTTGTTTTCGTTTTCCTGCCTGTAATTCAAATTTGCCTGTTGTTAATTACACAACATGTGTTGCACGTTGATGAGTCCCTATGCAACGCCTTGTTGCAGCAAAATATATATAATTTTATAATTCATCTAATTCATTAGCATATGAGCTTTGCCGAATTGAAAAACCAAAAAGAAAAAAGAATAATAATAATTTAGAGCATTTTTATGACTGCAGAGCAAGAGTTTTGCGAAATGGATTTTTAATTTTCAACTATATTTTAATATGGCTAACGAGCGCTCGTCTTTTAATTGATTAATGCTTCGGCTGCTGCGTTTGATTAAAGAGAATATTTGTACATGCAAAAAGGTCAATTGCTACATATGGTAATTTCGCATAGAAACAATGTACAAAGAACTGTTTTTAGTATAAATATGATATTGATAGAGTCAAGCTATTTTGGGCCTCTGATGAGGTCAGACTGATACGAATGTTATAAAACTAGCTGAAAGCTGACTAAAATCAAAGAGGTGACCAATTAATTTAACATTTATCTGGTCAATCATAGCTCATTATTATTCTACAAGTTACAAATATTACATATTATTAGCTTGTATTTTGCTTCAGACCTTAGGCTTTCACTTTTCCACCCTTTTTCCGACCATGACTGATGTAAATTTTAATTAATTAAACAAAAATTATTTTTCGTTTATACAACTTGTATTTTACGCGACGATGTTGTGATGTTGAAGTTTCCCAATGATCTTAAAGTGTAATGGTATGGTAAATTCAAAAACTTCGTACAAATAATTTCCGAAAATTTTCCGAAGCTGCGAAAGTGTGTTTTTATGTAAGCAAAATTTGAACCAAATCGGCCCACTATATCAAATGTCTGTAATAGGAAAGATCAGTCGAAAATCAAGCTGTTTTTTTTGTCTGCAAACTTTTTGTTTGTCAAGATATTTTAACCAAACTTCGCATTTATTGGTTTCACTATGCTTCTCATGTATGAGTCAAATCTTATCAACATCGGACTACTTACGAGATTCACTTATCTCCTCACAACAAAGTGTTTGATCTGCGGCGTGTAGAATACATATAGTGTTAATTTTAATTTTACGGATAATCAGGTAAAAAGATTAATTTCACTTTAATGCCGGCTCTTAATAAGATTATCCAATATCATCTAAAGGGCATTCGTACATGTGCTTTACCCAGAGACACAGGTAAAAAGTCAGCAAATGAGAAGTAAAATCATCTGAGAATTCGGCGGTTACAGATACTGCTCAAAAACAAATAAAAAAAACTTATCATCACAACAGAGAGCCAATGCGTAAGCGTGTTTTTAAAAACTTCTGCCGAAGCGGCGATCGTGCTAAGAGAGTCTTCCGTACGCTCTTTAAAGCTCGCCGCTTCGTGTTTCGTAGACATGTGCCTCTCCATGTGTATTTGTTTGGCTGTATATGTATATAAGATCGTTCCACATGTTTTCGATGGCACATGTGTAAAAGCACACCTCGGTTCAGTTCGGTTTGGATCGGCTCCAAGCCGGGCAGCTAAGGGAGATGCGGTGGCATTCTGGCGTGCACACTGTGGCACCCGGGACACACAGGACGTAGTGAAGCATTTGCATGCTGGCACATAAAACCATGATCCATTAAGCTCTGCCGATTAAAAGCCAAAAAAGAAGCCCGTACATTGATATGCTAAATGAGAGCGGCGGCTATACAGTGTATAAGTGTAAGTCTGTGTGTGCTTGTGCGCGTGCGTGCCTGTATGTGTGTGTGTGTGTGTGTGTGAAGAATTGCGGCTGCTGATAGTCGACCAAGAGCATAAGCAGAAGTAGTCGTTAGAGCGAACTCGAGCGAGCGACAACGCGCGAAACGTTTTTGAATTTTTGTTTTATGTTTTCGACTTTTTTTGTTTTTTGACATTTTTGTCGTCTTTTATTTTGCGGGCGCAGCAATTTGGCAGGCAGTGTGGCAGTCGATCATTTCCCATTCCTGTCCACAAGTACCTTAAATCATATAATTATAATGTTAGGCTACGCGTCGTGACAGCTTATGCTACTACTAACGGTAATGATAAAAGCCCTGCCCATGCGCTTGAATACGGATGTGACTATGGATATAAACATGGATTTGCATGCGCATGCGTACATGTGCGTCTGCATGTGACTGTGACTGTGTGCTGGTGTTCGTATGCTTGTGTGGTCAGCTTTGAGTCGGATTCGGCAACCTTCTCTAGATGTTGCCAACGATGCCACGATGAGAAAAAGTTAAAAAGCAAAGCAAAAAAAAAAAAACAAATAATCAAGTAAAAAGTCAAAAAATGCTAAAGTTGTTAAAAGTAAAGTTGAATGTGCAGCATGAAAAGCAACTAAATAAATACTTGAAGTGCATAAAAATCTATAAACATATACAGATACAGATATACTACACATGTACTGAGCTTGTATGGCCAGATGTATCTATGTGCGCATACCTGTGTATCTGTGACTCGTAAAAGAAAGAAATGCGAAATAACATTGGACACTTCTTTGGCTCTGCTTAAGTTATAGCGCGCGAACCTTATACGTACAATGTCTGCATGTATTTATGTACATATGTATCTCATACCTGTATGCATATGTACGTCTCCCTATCAGTATTTATCTTATTGTTGCTTCTTTAGTGGCTAACTGTTGCTAACTTCTCGAAATTGTTTTATTTTACGCACTAGTACTACTACTGGCTATACGATTAGAATCAGCTGCCAGCCGACAGCCGACGGCAGTTATCTTCAAGACACAATTTTGTATATCAATGTTGGTTTATGCCTCAGCCCCAGCCTCAGCCGCGGGTGCGTGAGTGTGCGCGTGCTGTGACGGCAGCAACAGCAGCAGCGGGCACGGCAACCGGCGCATTTCAATTAACAAAATAAGCAAAGCTCGCAAAATCAACATAATAGATACATAATTGGCTAACAAGCCCGAGCCCGATTCCGACCCCAAAGCTACCAAGTGCCGTAGTGCTGGCCAAAAAATTCGACCACTTTTCGCGCACATTTTTGCACGTGCTCTGTTTGGCGGGTGATTGACAGCACAGCTCCAAAAGCTCCAACAGCTCCAAGCCCAGCAACAGGCAGCCATGTCTAATGCGGAGACACGGACGGAGCAGTCAATGGCCGCAGCAGAGGTCCAACAACTGCTACATGATATCGACGTGGAGAGCACCTCTATGCCAAAGACGGACGAGGCTCGCTGGCTATACGATGATCACAGATGGTTTCCAAATCGCACAAAGCCCGCTTCAAAGGCCTGCGAATTACCATTCAGGGAGCCGGAGTGCCAGGACCAACTGGAGGGCCTGAATGAATTTTTAAGAGACCCAGCCGCCGACCTCGACGACAATGTCCTGCGATACTCCTTCAAAGGCAAGCCGCCGGAGGTCTACTCATCCAAAAAGGAATTCATCTATACGCCCGCGCTGGTCGACAAACAGGTAAATACTTCAACAGAGATTGCCATTGGCGTGCCTAGCCCTTCGTTTTTGGATTTTTCGGTCTTTTCTTTTGGGGCTCGCTCATTTTAATTTATTGCTTCGATTTCGCATCGATTTGTCGAGTTCTTTAATTTCTTTTATAAATTCGGTTGATTTGTCGCTATTTTTTGTCTGCTTCGCTCTTTTTGTTTTCTGTACATATATATATATATATATATATATATATATATATATATATATTCTGTTTGTATTTACTTTTTGTAAATAAAGCTCAAAGAGACACAAAGAAAGCGTCGTCGCTTTGACCATCGCATTTGAATACACACGCTTCGCTGCACAGACAGTAAAAATAAAAAAAAAAAACAAATAATAAAAAAAAAAAATAAAAAAAATGAGAGGAAAATAAAATAAAATATAATAAAAATTCAATTTCGCGCAACTAGCAAATGGACAAATTGTTTAAAATGCATGAGTATTGGATAAAAAGAGAAACAGATTTGTCAGCAGTTCCCTTGGGAACCCACCAAATCCCCATAGCTAGCAGGAAAAACCAAACTTGAGTTTTTTGTTTAAGTAAATCTTGACTTTTTTCTCTCTCCCCGATTGTCTGTTACGTCAGAAGATAGGCCTATTTATTTGAACATATATAGATATATTACTTTATACATATGCATTAAGATAAATACTACATAATGACCGATAAGATTTTGCGCTATTGCTTCAGACATGTGCTTCCGTTAGCCAACACGTGTTATCTTATTTAATGCAAATTCGCAGAATCAGCAGATGATTAATGTTTTTTGTTTTAATTATTTGATAACAACTCTTAATATTATATTTAGGTAACATTTCAATTTAGATATGTTCGAACATTTCCTTCAAGGATTAGACATTACTAAAAGGTATTTTTAAATGAGTGAATAAAAGGCTTATGCAATCGATTTCCGCCAATTTCCACAGTTACGGGCGGAATTTCTCATCCTGCATTTGGTCAGATGTTTCAGTCACATAGCTCACATAACTATGAAATGTGTTATTTGATTTCAAGCGACGTGGATTCCCACAAATTGACTCTTCGTGAAAATCTTTGAAGTATACGACTATCACGAAAGATCATTTGATATTATGGAATCGACACGGCATGTATGAGTACTCGTTGTTCCAATCTGCAGCAGCTGCATCTAATGGTTCTGTAAGCTGGAGGTCTGCAAATGTTTTAATGCAAATGCAGCACATATTTGTATGTCATGGTTACGGGAATTCGCCAAGTTGTCACATGAATGTGCACAACAACACGAGCTGTGTGTTAATTGCGGATAATTAAGTTTTGGGAACAATCAACGAGGTGTGAGAATTAGCTAAATCAATCTGTTTGGGTGACGGAACGTGACACTTTTGCCTGTGTTAAAAAAAAAAACATCAGTCGACTGCCAGGCACTAGCCATTAACTATTCCACACTATCCATTAGCATTTTATCAGCGTTCTAAAGAGCTTAGGCTTTACATGGAGCCGAGGACGATATATGATGTATGTAATGGCGGTATGAGAGGCGGTGTTGC